GTGAGGTGGCCTACAAGCTCGCATTGCCTCCTAGTTTATCAGCCGTTCATCCGATTTTCCATGTGTCCATGCTCCGGAAGTATCACGGTGATCCGTCCCACGTGTTAGATTTCAGCTCTATCCAGTTGGACAAGGATTTGACTTATGAGGAAGAGCCGGTGGCTATTCTAGCCCGGCAGGTTCATCAGTTGAGGTCGAAGAGTAATCCTTTAGTTCGAGTGCAGTGGAGAGGTCAGCCCATCAAGGCAGCTACTTGGGAGTCCGAGTCGGACATGCGGAGTTGATATCCATACCTTTTCACCAGACCAAGTACTTTTCTTTGTCTGTTCGAGGATGAACGGTTGTCTTAGAGGTGGAGAATGTGATGAACGGATAGGTCTTCTCCTGTTTTAGAATCTAATTCTGTGCTTTGAACCTTAAAAAACTCATTTTAGCCCTTCTCGATTTGTGTGCGCAGTCCAATGTTTTTCTGGAAGGCTTTTATGTTAAAAACTGAGAAAAATATTAACATTTTGTGTTAAAATCCATTTGAGTTGACTTTGGTCAATATTTTGAGCAAACGGATTAGGATTCATGTTTTGACGGTGCTGGTAGGTCCGTATCGTGATTTGGGACTTGGTCGTATGCCCGAAATCGAATTCGGAAGTCCCTAACCCGAGTTATCGCACTTTGTTAAAATTTAAAAGTTTAAAAGCTTAATGAATTTGAAAGTTTGACCAATGTTTGACTTTATTGATATCAGGTCCTTATTTTAGTTTTGGAACCCGCTATAAGTCCACTACTATATTTATCACTTGTCTATCGAATTTGGTGAGAAACGGAGTTGGTTTAACGTGTTCATGAGTTTTTTTGAAAATTCCATTTGATTTGGTGTTCAATTCGTATATCTAGGTGTTATTTTGGCGATTTGATCACGCGAGAAAGTTCGTATGATATTTTTGGACTTGTGTGCATGTGTTGGAATGGAGCCCCGAGGGCTCGAGTAAGTTTCGGATAGGCTACAGAGTGAATTTTGAACTTAGGAAGAATGTTGGTGTGTTTCGGTTCTGGTGCAGGCCTCAGATCTCGCAATTGCAAGGTTAGGCTTCGCATTTGCGACCTCTGTTAGGTTCGCATTTGCGAGCAACTCCTCGCATTTGTGAAGAGTAGCTGGGAAACTCAGGTTCGCATTTGCGAACAATACTTCGCTTTTGCAAAGTGGGACTGGGGCAGGCTTGGTCGCATTTGCGATCAATTTGGTCGCAAATATGGAAGATCAATGTTCGCATTTGGGAACAAATCATCGCAAATGCGATGATAGAAAAAATGGGAGGACTTTGCAAATGTGACTGTTTCTTCGCATTTGCGGGGTTTGCATTTACGAACCCCATATCGTAAATGCGACATCTACGACTGATCACATAGCTAAAAATGGGATTTTCTCTCATTCTTCAAATTTTCAAAACAAGAAAACCCTAGAGGCAATTTTCCCAAGCACCCTTCTTCCCCAAATAATTGGTAAGTGATTCTAATCTATTTTCTTTCAATCTTCCATTACATTTCCTAAGATTTCAACCTAAAATTTAATATTTTCATGGTGGAAATTGGGGGTTTGTGTACAATTAGGAATTTCTATAAAATTGGGATTTAGACCTCAAATTGAGGTCAGATTCCAAAAAAAATTACATAACCGGGCTCAGGGGTGAATGGGTAATCGGGGCTTTTTCCAAATTTCGAGATTGGACCAAGCAAGTCCGGAAGTCGACTTTTGTTGACTTTTTTAATAATGACCTAAATTGAATCCTTTTCAACCGTGGGTAGTTCCTAAGGCTAAATTTGAATCGTTTGGCTGGTAATTTCCTAGATTCTATTGGTTCGGAGTCTTGTTTGAAAGGCAAAACTGTGGTTGAGCTTTGCATTGATCCTGGGAGCAAGGTAAGTCTCGTGGTTAACCTTGACTTGAGGGATTAGGACTTTTTTGTCTATTTACTACATGTTTAGATGTTGGGTACAACGTATGTGTGAGGTGAAGAGTACTTATGCGTTGTTGTTGGGTTAAAGCATGCGGGTGGAATTGTTCCTTGTAATTTATTGCTTACTTTGATCATGTTATCCATGCTTAGACTAGTTACTCGTTATATTGAATGTTCGTACCACGTTTATGGGCTTTTTGTGATAATTGAGTATTGTTTCTAGAGTTGAGATTTGTATTGTGGAACCATTGTTGACGTGAGGCTTGTTATTGTTATTCTATCTCCCTGTTGTTACTTGTTCATTGTTATATGGTGAGGGAGAGTGTTAATGCACGAAGGGTGATGCCTTGCAATATTATGAGAGTTAATACACGAAGGGTGATGACGTGTCGTATCTATTGATTTATACTGAAAGTGAGAGTAAAAGCACGAAGGATGATGCCGTGCAGTATCATTGTCACATTGTGAGGTTGAGAGTAGAATCACGAAGGGTGATGACGTGCAATTTTCTTCGTTGTGCTTGTTTGTTTTTACTGGTTAAAGGCATATTGACTGTTCTGGTTATCATTTCCGTTGTATTTCTCGTATCTTGTACCCCCTTTAGCATGTCCCCCTCCCAATAGTATATGTTTAGATTTTATTTGTTGTTATCTTGTACGTATACGGTTATCTGCACAAGTTTATTGCGTGGGTATCTTGTCATAGCCTCGTCACTACTTTGTCGAGGTTAGGCTCAGCACTTACATAGTACAAGGGATCGGTTGTACTCAGACTACACTCTGCACTTCTTGTGCAGACTTTGGTACTGGCACCAGCTGTTCGTGAGGCGTAGCAGCTTGGAATTGCTCATTGGATACTCAAGGTAGATCTGTTGACGTCCGCAGACCTTGAAGTCTCCTCCTATTTTACTTTTTCTTTTCGTTCAGAACAGTTGTATTTATTTCAGATCCTGTTTGTTGCAATTCTAGAAGGTCGTGATTTCTGACTCCAGATCGTAGTAGATATTATGGGCATTTATGTTATTCTGCACTCAGTTTTAGTTTATTTTGGCTTAATTGACTTTATTTATTGAAATTGAACGGAAATTGGCTTAAAGATTCTCTAACGTTGGGTTGCCTAGCAAGTGAAATGTTAGACGTCATCACGGTCCCGAAGGTGGGAATTCCAGGTTGTGACGCTCTTTACCCTTTTATCTTATTGATTGATAATTATTACTCCATCTGTTCACTTTTACTTGTCCACTATTAAAAGTATTAATTACCGTTTCAAATCATTTTCTCAAATCTATTAAAAATATGCATTAATTACGCACTTCATTTATTATTTCTTAAGGGGTATGCAAAGTCTATAGTGAATAAGTAAAAATGAGCTGAGGGAACAATTTTTACTATAAATGTAGGGGACAATGGATGTTGATCGGATCCGAGCAAGGTTAAACGTGGTATTTTTTTCATGAATCATCAAAATAGCTCTTGAAACATTTTCTAACTAAGATCCTTGAACGCTCTTGAATTTATTGGAACGAGTCAATGGTCCATTAGTCATTTTGCGGAACCTCTGCAATGTGCTCCAGAGCAGAGCCGAAGCCAGGATTTAAAATTTATGGGTTTTGAATTCTAAATCTTTTAAGTTAGTTGGTTCTAAATTAATAATTTGTACATTTTCATGAATTTCTTTAGAAATATATATATATATATATATATATATAATAAATCTAGACCAAAGCTACTTGGTTCGCCCGAACGCGTAAATTCTAGTCTCCCTCCACCCCTACTCTAGAGGTCTAATTAGATATATATATATATATATATATATATATATATATATGTGTGTGTGTGTGAGAGAGAGACCATTATTACAAATAACTATGCAGAGCAAAAATTGAATGTCCGCTTGCATGTTTTTAGAAAGGGTGACAACTTTTTTATATTTAGAAATAATTAATTTTAAATTTCTCAATTTATTAAAAGGGCAGCTTTGTGCATTAAGATCCCGCTATGTGCGGGGTGTGTATGGAAAGAGCCAGACCACAAGTATGTATCCTTAGCTTACATTTCTGCAAGAGACTGCTTCCACAGCTCGAAACCGTGACCTCTTGATCACATGCCATGGTAACTTTACCAATTATGCCAAGATTCCCTTCAAATTTCTCAATATTTTCTTGATGAAAATTTTAATAGCCCATAAATATTCTTTCTTCCTAGAAATTTTTGTCGAGTCAAACTATGACATACAAATTGAAATAGAGAGAATAGGTATTATTCTATTAGATACAAATGCAAAGAAGAGATCAAAAGGCTTGCACTGAAATCTTCAAAATTGAAAATTTTCATTTATCACATTTCATATCATATATAACTATTACTTCGAGACAAACAGTTTTTCCAAAACCATTTTTATCTAAGATTTCTTGAATATGTTTTAACTTTAGAAGAATAGAATTCATAGTAATACATCGTTATCAGTTTTCAAACATTATTTAATTACAAGTTTAAGTAGTATACATTATCAGTATAAAAAAAGTTTTACACCATCTAATCACAATCCAAAGGATATTTAATTAACGATAAGACTTCTTAAAACGTAGGATTGTTTTCTTGAAAATAAAACATGTTACAACAGATAAAAAAGTAATATGATGGCATAAAAATTTTCTTACGCTAAACGGTATTAATAACTTATAAACTCTTCAATTATTTAGATAGTTTGACACTTGGGGAGGAGGGGTAAGTTAATTAACAACAATAAGGGCAGCTCAGTGCACTAAGCTTCCGTTATGGGGAAAGAACCGGACCACGAGGGTCTATTGTACGCAGTCTTATCCTACATTTCTGCAAGAGGCTATTTCCACGGTTCGAACTCGTGACCTCCTGGTCACATGGCAACATCTTTACCGGTTACGCCAAGACACCATGCATAAGTTAACAAGAATACCCTACACAAATAAATTCATAGGCAGTGGAAGCGAATCAAAGCCACAACTCTTGAAACAGTAAGAGAGAGAGAGAGCTAGAGAGGAGAGAACCACTGGAAAGAAAGAAAAAAGCCATGGAACTGAACAAATGTACTGTGCAGCAACCCATCACTACCATATACCGACTCCACATGTTTTTCCATTCTCTAATTATGCTGGCATTAGTATACTATCGTCTTTCTCATTTATTTTACTTTGAAACTGTCCTATGTTTACATGCACTTGCATGGGTGCTTATTACCTTAGGTGAAGTTAGTTTCATTGTCAAGTGGTTCTTTGGACAAGGGACGCGTTGGCGACCCGTTGCGCGTGATGTGTTCCCCGAACGCATCACTTGCAAAGATTCTCAGTTGCCAGCGATTGACGTGATGGTCTTCACTGCCAACCCGAAGAAAGAGCCAATTGTGGATGTCATGAATACTGTGATATCCGCAATGGCTCTGGATTATCCGACGGACAAATTGGTGGTGTATCTCGCAGATGATGGCGGATGCCCCTTGACATTGTACGCGATAGAGGAAGCGTGTGGTTTCGCTAAGTTGTGGCTGCCTTTCTGTAGGAAGTATGGGATCAAAACGAGGTGCCCTAAAGCGTTTTTTTCGCCATTAGGGGAAGACGATCGTGTTCTTAAGAATGACGATTTTGTAGCTGAACAGAAAGAAATAAAAGTACGGTAACGCTAAAGCGTAGATTTTCATGCATTTTGTAGTCAGCGGCGGATCTAGAAATTTATAACCAAAAATGTTCCGAGGGGGATTCAATTTTATCCTCTTTCTTTCCTTCTAGCTCCGCCACTGTTTGCAGTTACTGTACTACTGTTTAGTAACGCTGCTTTAACTGCATTCTTTGCAGATGAAATAACTAAATGAGCTTATTTTTTTCTTTTTTTTTGCAGTTAAAATATGAGGAATTTCAGCAAAATGTGAACAGTGCTGGTGAATCCGGTAGAATCAAAGGGGACGTAGAGCCAGATCGAGCGCCGTTTGTCAAGGTATTTCAACATAAATGAACATGCAGCCATTTTAACATATTATGTTGAGAGGCGGATTTAAGTTTAATGGTCCAATTTATAAGATTCTTTAACATTAAAGTCATTATATATTTAGAGTTATGGGTTCACATCTACATACTATTTGTTGCAGTTTTAATAAATTTTTATAGATAAATTTATGTTACACGTCAAAAGTACTGGATTCAGATAAATCTAATACCAAAAGGCTACATCCGCCTCGGTATACATTTTCCAAATATGCTGAGTCAAGTTCAGAAAGGGGAGTCTTGGCGTAACTGATGAAGTTGATGCCATGTGACCAGGAGGTCACGAGTTCGAGCCGTGAAAACAGTCTTGACTGCATACGATAGACTCTTATAGTCCGGCCCTTCTCCACACCATGAATAACTGTGGATAGTAAACTTGGACCATATATGATGAGACCAAGATTTGGTACCAGATGGACACTATTATGCCTTTGAGGCATATGCCAAACGAAGAAAAAAATATTTAGCACAAAAATATTTTACTTCCTATATTATCCTTGTGCTAATGAAATATTTTGCAGGTAATAAATGACAGCAAAATGGAAAAAGAGAAGAGTGCCGACGATTTAACCAAGATGCCTTTGCTTGTATACGTATCCCGTGAAAGAAGACCCCATCTTCGTCATCACTTCAAGGGTGGATCTGCAAATGCCCTTGTATATATGATCAATAACCCTCTCTGCTCTTTATTCTTGTCTTTTACTACTCCTTTATTCTTACTGCTCGAATTTCGAGAGTTAAATATAAAAAAAGTTGATCGCGATTGTACTAAGCTCCCGCTATGCACGGGGTCTGGAGAAGGGTCAGACCACAAGAGTCTATTTTACGCAACCTTACCCTACATCTCTGCAAGAGGCAGTTTCCCCGGTTCAAACTTGTGACCTCCTCATCACATACATGGCAACAACTCTCTCCTTTTAATTATTGTGACTTATGATACCTTTTATGTAGTTTCTTAATAGTATACACATTTTATTTCGAATAACTTCAAGAATTTCTCTCTGAATTTACTGTTAAAATTAAAAAGTTTGACTCTCGAAATTGAAATTGCGTCACATGAATTGGGATAGAAGGAGTATTTGTCGTATGTGAATAACAAGTTTAGCTAACATTTAATTAATTTTTTTTGCAGCTTCGTGTTTCAGGGATAATCAGTAATGCCCCATATTTACTGGTTTTAGATTGTGATTTTTTCTGTCATGATCCAACATCAGCTCGAAAAGCAATGTGTTTCCATCTTGATCCAAATCTATCACCTTCCTTAGCTTATGTTCAGTTCCCTCAAGTGTTCTACAATGTTAGCAAATCAGATATTTATGACGTCAAAATTAGACAGGCTTACAAGGTGTATTTTTGTTCTTTCCTTTTTCTTAATACTTACATTTTTGTAGAAAATAAAAGAAAAATTGATCATATATATGATATTATACTTGTAGACAATATGGCATGGAATGGATGGTATTCAAGGTCCAGTTTTGTCAGGGACTGGTTATTTTTTGAAGAGGAAAGCATTATATACGAGTCCAGGTCTAAAGGGTTCGTCATTTTGTCAAACCTAATTCTACTTTTTTCCTGACTTTCACATTATTGTATTTCTGTCTATACACTGTTGTGATTATGCATGTGAGCTGAGGTTCTATCGAAAATAGTCTCTTTACCCGTATAAGGTAGGGGTAAGGCTGCGTACTAGCTACTCCTCCTAAGGCCCCATTTTATGGGATTTGTTATTATTGTAATATATTTCGTTTCGTTATTTGTTAAAAGAAAAGAGTGGTTTAATCCAATTTAACTTCGCAGATGAGTTTCATCGTTCACCGGAGAAGCATTTCGGATTGAGTAGAAAGTTTATAGCTTCACTAAAGGAGAATAATGGTTATACTAAACAAGAGAAAGTCATTTCAGAAGCAACCATAGAGGAAGCTAGGACACTAGCTACTTGTGCATATGAGGATGGCACACATTGGGGTGAAGAGGCAAGTTATATGCTTCTTTTTTTCATTTTATATTGCGATATTTGACTGGACAATATTCAAAAGGAAAACAAATTGATTCATATTTCCGTTCAAGAATCCTAGTTCATAACTATTTAGAAAAAATGACACTGTATAGTCGCTGTAAAAATAATAGCCGAAAAAATATATAATTCGTATATTTTTTGCATATATATACATTTTGTATGTTATATACAAAATATATACAAATTTTATACACTTTTTCCTACCAAATATAAATAGTTTCTGGCGCAGGCTAAAAGTAATAATACCACCAACTATTTATGATTTGGTCCAACCTGCTTAGAATGAGATATGCATCATAGGCCCAACCAGAATTCTTGTCTTCTAGTAACATTAATTGTCAAACCAATTTTGTCTTCATAATTACTAGGGGGAAAGGCATATTACCCCATAAGTTGTTTTAAATTAGCAAATTATCTCCTTATGGTTTGACATATGTTAAATCCTTGTCATTTTATAAATTGTCAAACCAATTTTGTCTTCATAATTACTAGGGGGGAAAAGGCATATTACCCCAAAAGTTGTTTTAAATTAGAAAATTACCTCATCCAAAGTCCAAAGCAGCAAAACAACTAGAGACCTACTATAATAGATTAAATGACACTAAGGGGTCGTTTGGTATGCGGGATAAGGTGGAATAAGGTGCGGGATTTAGAGCCCGTTTGGACATAAGAAATTTTTTTCTTTTTTCGAAAAAATTTTCACTTTTTTCGAAATTAGCGTTTGTTCATAAAATTTCTAATTTTCACTTGAAGATGGATTTTTAATCCAAAAAGCTGTTTTTCAAATTTTTTACTCAGATCACTCACAAAACTTCAAAAACACCCCAAAATTATATTCATGTCCAAACACAACTCTAATTTTCAAATACCATTTTCACTTGAAAATTTTTTTCACTTTTTTTTTGGAATATTCTTATGTCCAAACGCCCACTTAATTTATACCATATTTGATTGACGGTATAAATTTATCTTCTGGTATAAATTTAATCTCAATCTTAATTAATACAAGATATCCCACCTTATGCCATCAAACTTGGGATTATTAGCCCGCCTCTCAGGTGGATAAGTTAGTCGAGGGATAATAATCCCAGGATTATAATTCCGGAATAATTTAATTTGCATACCAAACGACCCCTAATAGTGTAAAAGTTCTTTAACCTATGCTAGACTAAGTATTTTCACTTCATGAGAATTACCTTATATTTTTGTTACACAAAAGTCGATTGATATTTTCATTTTCTTATATCACAATCTGCAGATCGGTTATTCTTACAATTGTCATTTGGAGAGCACTTTCACTGGTTATCTTTTACACTGCAAAGGTTGGACTTCTACATATTTATACCCAGAAAGACCATCTTTCTTGGGTTGTGCCCCAGTTGATATGCAAGGTTTCTCCTCACAACTTGTAAAATGGGTTGCTGCACTCACACAAGCTGGTTTATCACATCTCAATCCTCTCACTTATGGCATGAAAAGCAGAATGAGAACTGTTCAATGCTTGTGCTATGCCTATTTGATGTATTTCTCTCTATATTCTTGGGGAATGGTTTTGCATGCCAGTGTCCCTTCTACAAGCCTTTTGCTAGGCATTCAAGTTTATCCCGAGGTAAAATCGAACGATTTTCTTTCTCTATCTTAGCGGAAAGATATGATCATCTCATCTAAACGTTCTAACTGTTGATGGCCATTTGTCTACAAGGATTAGGGTGTTATCCCAAGTATAAAATTTGGGACTAAGTTTGTCCAATGTTTGGTTATGAGTAATAGCTAAAACTAGGATAAAAATTTAACCAAAATCATGGAATTATTTATAAGGTGGGAGATTATCTATCATTGTTATAATATTGGTTATAATCTAGTACTGTTGAACCAAACGACCCCTTAGAGTTAGAGAGAGCACATCTTGATTATTAATTATATTATATCTCCGTACGCTATTTATTTGGCATGATGATGACATGAGTTGAGCTTAAATGTAGAAACGATGATTTGAACAAAGGACCCCAACTTATTTGCAACCGAGACATAGTTATCACTATTATTTACATCTAAATATGCCCCCTCGTGTGTGGACCAATTTTTTTCAAGGGCCAAGCACGTGTAAATATTCTTTTGCTTTTTGTGTAGCTGTTAGATTTGAACTAAAGATCTCTAAACTGCTCTGATATCATGTTGAAATATGTGATCATCTTATCTAACAGCTTAAGCTTTTAGATGAAATGGTCATACATTTCAACTGCCTTGAACTCTACTTCGATCTATTTGAAAAGCTTGACAGCTTTTCTTCGTATTGTTTTAGGTCCATGATCCTTGGTTTGCAGTATACGTGATCGCGTTCATATCAACAATTTTGGAAAATATGTCGGAATCAATCCCAGAAGGCGGATCAGTAAAAACATGGTGGATGGAATACAGGGCATTAATGATGATGGGAGTTAGTGCAATATGGTTAGGAGGATGCAAGGCTATAATTGAAAAGTTTATTGGAACTCAAGGAGAGAAATTATATTTGTCAGACAAAGCAATTGACGAGAAAAAACTAAAGAAATATGAGAAGGGGAAATTTGATTTCCAAGGTATAGGGATTCTGGCCGTGCCATTGATAACATTTTCCGTGTTGAATCTCGTTGGCTTCTTAGTTGGAGTTAATCAAGTGATTATTACTATGAAGTTTGGAGATGTTCTGGGCCAACTCCTTGTATCATCTTTCTTTGTCTTTGTGGTTGTTACCGTTGTTATAGATGTTGTGTCTTTCTTAAAAGTTTCTTAGAGCCTAGCTCTCAAATGTACTTCTAGTATTTGGACTATCTTCTCTTGAATAATAAAGTAAGTATTCGCCTCGAAGACTCAATAGCAATTCCATCTCGTCTTTTCAGATCAATTGCCCCAATCCCCATCTTTTCAAAACATGTATTTTACGGGTTATTTCTGGCAAATTTAAGCAATGTAGCTTCTAAGTTTCGATGAAAGAAAATTGTGTCGTTCTTTATAGAGATCGTTGTCGCTCTCTATATATGGTTCCCTTTTGATATTGCAACTTATATCATCTCAACCTCTTTTTGGTTAATTTTTAACTGTGTAAGTAATTATTAGGAAAATTGAAAAACAGAAATTTTTGCGTTCAGGAGGTAGAGAGGCTAACCGGAGCAATCGATCGAGACTCTTTTCTTGATATCACAACACCAGTTTAATTTAAGTTCATTTCAGGTTTTGGAGGCTCATGCTCCAAACTCCCGTATGCATAACAACAACAACAACAACAACAACAACAACAACAACAACAACAACAATAATAATAATAATAATAATAATAATAATAATAATAATAATAGTCTCAGTGTATATGATCTCAAATGGGGTCTAGGGAGGGTAGAATGTATGTAGAATCTTATCCCTACCTTGTGTGAGGTAAAGATGTTATTTGCGTGAGGTAGAGATGTTATTTGCGCTAGACGCTCGACTAAAGAAAAGAGTTTTCAAATAAATTTAAAAAATACTATAGTAAAGACGCTATGGCGAGTAAAGATGCTCCAAACTCCCGTACGCATGAAAAAGAAAATGAAAAAAAAACGGGTCTTAAATGAACTTATGAATTTCTCATTTGGACACTTCTACTCGTTCATTTGCATAATAATAAACCCCTTTGACCGTTGATCATGATTATTGGCAAAGACCCCGCTGATGTGGTCAAGGTATGTGTTAATCAAGCCGATAGAGCGCGTGAATAGGCTTACTTTAATTTAAAAAGTACTAAATTCAGAAAACAAATACTAAAGGACAAAAAAAAATCCCCAATGCCGACCCCTTTCTTCCCGATTCCCGCCCTTCTCCATTCTTTTTCTTTTCCCCGCCCTTCTTTCTCGTTCTTTTTTTTGGGTAAAAGAAAAAAATTTATTTATCTCCCCCGTACAAAAACCATTTACAATCCGGTATCCATGTTGAGCCTATGAGCTCAACTCCTTAATCTTATTCTATATATCCTCTATATCTCTACCAATATCCTATCTATACAATGGATTTATCCATTCTATTTCTTTTCTATTCTTCCTACTATTTCGTATTTTCTGAATTCTATACCTGCTCCCTTCCTTAATTTCTTGCCATACTTTTCCTGGTATAGGTACTGCTTTGTTCCACAGTGCCTCATTCCTTGCTTTCCAAATCCAGTACATAGCTGCTGTTATGATAGCTGCTACAAAACTCTTGCATAGTCTTCCTTTTATTTATCTTCCAATCTTCCTCCAGATATTGTTCTGGTCTGCATTTCTTATTCTAATCTTCAGCCATTTGCACATGCACTCCAGTATTCTGTTTGAGTACTCACAATCAAAATACATATGTTGGACTGTTTCATCTTCTTTTTCACATAGGAGACATGTCTTCTCTTGGCTCACCCCCATCATATTCAGCCTATCTCTGGTCAGTATTCTCTTCTTCACGATCAGCCATCCAATGAAACAGTGTTTTGGAACATTTAGTCTGTTCCAAATCCATCTTGCATATGGCCACTTTGCTGCTGCTCCTCTTCTCCAGTTGTAGCCATCCTTGATTGTATACTTGTTTGTCTTCCATACTCTTTGTTCAAATCCCTCTTTAAACTTTCCTTTTATGTCACATATTTTCTTCCAATACCAAGTACTGTCCTTGGGTGATTTGTATTGCCACCAATCTTCCTTTTTTATGTAGATGTGGTTCACCCATCTGACCCATAAAGTATCACACTTATGCTCTATATTCCAAACATACTTGGCTATTGCTGCTTCATTCCAATTTATGCATTCCTGTATCCTCAAACCCCCTTCATCCTTTAGTCTGCAAACTGTATCCCAGGCTATCAGTGGTGGTCTGTTTGTGATCACACTCCCATCCCAAAGATAGTTCCTGCATATAGTCACTATAGTCTTCATTACCTTCTTTGGCATTATGAACATTGATGCCCAGTAGGTATGTAAGTGCAGCAACACTGTGTTTACTAATTGTACTCTCCCAGCATATGATAGACTCCTAGATCCCCATACCTTCTTTCTCGTTCTTGTTCCCCCTTCTTAAGATGTTCAGCCTTGCTGTGGGTGGGTCTGATGGCAAGAATGCGGTCAAAGTTGCGATTAACAATTTTGAATTTACCAACCATTTTTATACTAAAAGACTTGTTGTACATCTTTATTTCTCTATAATTTAAGAGGTTAATTGAATAACACCGGCTTTAATTTCCATTTTATGAATTTTCAAGAAGGTGAATATTGATGAAATATCTAGGAGAACCGGTGAGATTCTTTTGAAGAAAGTTTAAAAAAAATCAGAGATGAGAAAGGAGCTAGTATTTTCGAAGAAGACGGTGACTAGCATATGATTTTTCTTTTCAGTTGGTGGCGTTGTACAGTATGTAATATACTCAATTGAAAAGTAGAAAGGAAATAGAAATGGGCAACAATGGAGTTTTATTGATTGCTAAATGAATACAATGATAGTTTTCAATTACAATATTAGTAATTCTCAATGACAAACAGAATGTGACTCCATTGAAGAGCTTCACTTGAACCTGTAATGGAAATTCACGGATTAGAAGAGTAATTAGGTTGTAGAAGAAGAGAGAAAGTAGAGTAAGAAAGTAGAGAGAGAAAGAGAGGGAATTAAGAAAATACCGGTCAAAAACTAACTCCTAATTCCAGCCCAATTGGTTATAACAGATTGAGGCCCAATCCATTACACAAGGACTAATCTGGGCCCTTCATTTCTATCAGCTAATTTGTAATTGTGGTCATCCGATCCACTTGGCATGTGCCAATCTAGTGTGCACGTGCCTTTCTCTATTTACCCTAATCCTTTACTTTCCTAAATTATTTCTTCATCTTCTTCGACACTCACCTCAGCCTTCTCGAACATTACAATACCCCTCCCATGAAACAGACCTTGTCCTCAAGGTCGATACTGAGCTACGAACTCAGGAAATTGGCTTCGCACGTACCCCCAATCCTCCCATGTGGCTTCCTTAGGGCTTAGATTAGCCCATTGAACCATAACCTTAACCCCAACTCCTTATTGACCTTCACCATTTTCCTCTGAAGAATAGCAATCGGTTGGATCTGGACTCGTCCATCAACGTCACAAGTTGGAGGGTGCATCCGAGGGGTGATTGCTGGGCCTATTCTTCTCTTCAACTGAGAAATGTGGAACACTGGATGAATTTGAGAGCCTGGAGGAAGTTCAATCCGGTAAGCTACTGCTCCTATACGTTGTAGAACTTTATAGGGTCCATAAAATCGAGCACTCAATTTCAAGTTTTTTCTGATAGCAACTGATGACTGTCTGTAAGGCTGTAGTTTGAGATAAACATAGTCCCCCACTTCAAAATGTTTGTCGGTTCTTGCACGATCTGCATAGAATTTCATCCGGGCATGTGCCTGCGTGAGATTCTCTTTTAGATGCTGCAGCATGGTCTGCCTCTGAGCAATACATGCCCCAGCCTGTGTATTAGTTGTGTAAGGAAGAGACCCTAGGGGAACTTGGGGAGGTGGAAACCCATAAAGGGCCTGAAAAGGTGTTGATTTCAGAGCATTATGGTAGTTGGTGTTATACCACCACTCTGCCAGGGGAAGCCACTTAAACCACTGCTTCTGATTAGTGAACACCATGGCTCTCAAATAAGATTCCAAACACTTGTTCAGTCTCTCAGTCTGGCCATCAGTTTGTGGGTGGTAGGAAGTGGACATATGTAGTTTAGTTCCCAATGATTTAAACAGGCTTTGCCAAAACTGACTGGTAAAAATAGCATCTCTGTCGGTGATAAGGGTTTTAGGTAAACCATGCAGCTTGAAAACTTCCTTCAGGAATAAGTCTGCCACATCATGTGCTGTATAAGGATGGCTTAGAGCTAGGAAATGACCATACTTTGTTAACCTGTCCACCACAACTAGGACAGTATTCTTGTGATTTGAGGCTGGTAGACCCTCCACAAAATCCATGGCAATGTCTTGCCAAGGAAGGTCAGGAATAGGTAAGGGTTGCAAAAGACCAGCTGGGTGTGTGTTTTCAGTTTTTACCCTTTGGCAAATATCACATTCTGAGTCCCATTTGAACACCTCTGTCTTCAGGTTGGGCCAATAGAATGTCATCCTAATTCTCTTGTAAGTCCCTTGTTGGCCAGAATGCCCCCCCCCCCCCCAAGGGAGATAGGTGTAAAGCCTCAAAAATCCTAACCCTTAGATCAGACCCTCTTCCCACATAAATTCTGTGATCATGCCTCAAATTGCCCTGAGATAGTGAAAAATTAGGCCTGCTATTAGGTGCAGTGATAAGTTCAGCAATCAATTGTAGAGCTTGGGGATCCTGTTCATAGCTTAACTCAATCTCCTTCATCCAAGTAGGGTCTGCTGCAATGATAGCATTAAGAGTAGGGTCTTCTTCTTGTCTCCTTGACAAGGCATCAGCTACATTGTTCTCTGCCCCTTTCTTGTATTGCACCTCATAATCCAACCCCATTAGTTTGGCCAGCCCTTTCTGTTGAAGTGCAGTAGTGACTCTTTGCTCAAGTAGATATTTAAGACTCTGATGGTCAGTTCTTATGATGAAATGGCCTCCTTGCAAGTAATGTCTCCATTTATCTACAGCTGACAAAACAACCATATACTCCTTCTCATAAGTAGACATCCCCATGTGCCTAGGTGCCAATGCTTTACTGAAAAAAGCTATATGTCTCGCTTGCTGCATTAGTACTGCCCCCATTCCACTAGAACATGCATCAGTTTCCACCACAAATGGTTTATTAAAATCAGCCATGGCTAACACAGGTGCAGTAGTCATTGCCTTCTTAAGTGCTTGAAAGGCTGCTTCAGAATCAGCATCCCAATAGAACCCATTCTTTTTTAACAGATTGGTCAATGGTCTGCTAATAACTCCATAAGACTTAATAAACCTTCTGTAGTAGCCTGTCAGTCCTAGGAAATCCCTTAGAGCCTTAACAGATTTTGGTGTTGGCCAATTGGCCATAACCTCAATTTTTGAGGGATCAGTAGAGACCCCTTCTCCAGATATAATGTGCCCTAGGTATTCCACCTTAGGCTGACCAAAGGAACATTTGGACAGCTTAGCAAATAGCTGTTCCTTCCTCAATATACTCAACACCTTCCCAAGATGAAGCACATGATCCTCCATTGATGCACTGTAGACTAAAATGTCATCAAAGAAGACTAGAACAAATTTCCTTAAATGAGCTTGGAACACATGATTCATGAGGGACTAGAATGTAGCTGGTGCATTGGTTAGCCCAAAGGGCATAACCTTAAACTCATAATGCCCCAAATTTGTTCTAAAGGCAGTTTTATATATGTCCTTGTCTCCCATTCTAATTTGATGGTAGCCAGCTCTAAGGTCTATCTTAGAATATATGCATGAACCATGTAATTCATCCATTAAGTCATCTACCAAGGGAATTGGGAACTTGTCTTTGACAGTCATTTGGTTTAGGGCTCTATAATCAATACAAAATCTCCAACTACCATCCTTTTTTTTTACTAGTAAAACAGGTGAAGAAAAGGGAGAATGGCTAGGCTGAATAATTCCATTCTGGAGCATTTCATTTACTTGTTTTTCTATTTCATTCTTCTGAAAGAAATTGTACCTGTAAGGTATGATGTTAACTGGATTTGTTTCTGCTTTTAGAGGGATAAAATGGTCATGATTCCTCCTTGGTGGCAATGTCTTGGGCTCAGAGAAGACATCTGGAAACTCCTTCAGTACTTGTTGGATAGCTGCAGGTATATTTTCCTCTAACTGTGCTTCTGCTGCTGATATAGTGAACAAGTGAGCCCATATAGCTTGACCCTTTTTAAGTAGATGCTTTACCCCAGTAGCAGTCATGCTCTTTAATTCCCCTTGGTGATAAATGCCCCTAAGTTCCACCCTTTTTCCCTTGTGTGTAACCTGGACTTTGTACTCTATGAAGTCCAATAGGAGAGGATTGTGTCCTTTCATCCAATCTCCCCCCAAAATCATGTCATTACCCCCAAGTCTCAGTAATCTTACTGAGTCCTCAAACTCTATTCCCTGTATCTTCCATTTGAACTTGGGGCAAGTGTACAGACTGCACAAATGGTTCCCATTGGCTACTGTCACTCTCATAGGCACACTTTCTTTGATAACACACCCCATTTTCCTTGCTGTCTCTAAATCTAGGAAGCTATGAGTGCTTCCTGAATCCAAAAGGATTGTCATGGTGTTCTTCTTAGACTCCCCTTTGAGTCTAATGGTGTTTGGCACTTCAGTACCTGAAAGAGCATTCAAGCTAATGGCCTCATCCATGGGTTCCCCTTCCTGTACTTCTAAGAACTCCTCCCCCATGACTTCAATTTCTGGTTGAACTACCTCTTCAGAAGGCTCCATAGTTCCAGACATTGCATTCAGCTGTTTATTCTTGCATTGATGACCAGGGTGATATTTCTCCCCACATTTATAACACAATCCTTGAGCTCTTCTGATTTCAAATAGTTTGTTACCTGATTTGGAAATCCTGCACTCCTATGATTATTGGCTGCACTTGGTCCACTGATATTGGTGGTCATTAAACTCCTTCCCCCTATCATTTTCCCTTTCTTAGCCCATGAATCTATGACTTTTTCCTGATGTCTAGCTTTTTCTACTGCCTGACTTAGGGTAAAGGGGTTGAGCATTTTAACTGTATGCCTTATTTCTTCCTTTAGACCTTCTACAAAAAATTCTAGAAAGAAATCTTCAGGAATTGTGGGGCTTCTAATCAACACCCAAGCCTTCAAATCCTCAAACCTCTCTAAGTAGTCATTAACACTGCCCTTTTGCTCAATTTTTTTAAATTCTCCTATGAGGTTAAATTTACTATTTTCAGCATCTTGAAATCTTTTGCATAACTCCTCACAAAACTCTCTCCAGCTAACATTTCCTCTGCTTATTTGAAAGGAAAAATACCAAGCTTCAGCCCTACCTTGAAGATGAAGAACTGCCTCCTCCAGTTTTTGCCCCTGATCAGTGATATGATTGTAGTGGAAGTATCGCTCACACCTCCTCAACCATGAACATGGATCTGCTGCTCCTGCTCCATCGAAATATGGGAACTGCACCCTTGAATTGGAGTTGTGATGATAGCTTCTCTCCCCAAGGCCAGGAGTGAATGGCTCTCCTCTATGTTCACTCTTATGCCTGCCTTCAGAAGTTTCGAGAAAATGACTCTTAGAAGGAGCACTTCCCAAAACCCCTGCTTGATTAGGAATTAACTTCTCCACTAGCACATCAAGCTTCCTTGCCAACTCATCTATTTTGGCATCTGTGGCTTCAGATTTCAGTTCTGTCTTCTCCATGTAACTCTGTAGTTGGGTTTCTAGTTTTTCAAAATTTTCCTCCATAGATTTGGATCTAGTTTCAGCAATCGTCATTGTTTTGTAATAATGGGCCAGGAATTGCTCTGATACCAATTTGTAATATACTCAATTGAAAAGTAGAAAGGAAATAGAAATGGGCAACAATGGAGTTTTATTGATTGCTAAATGAATACAATGATAGTTTTCAATTACAACATTAGTAATTCTCAATGACAAACAGAATGTGACTCCATTGAAGATCTTCACTTGAACCTGTAATGGAAATTCACGGATTAGAAGAGGAATTAGGTTGTAGAAGAAGAGAGAAAGTAGAGTAAGAAAGTAGAGAGAGAAAGAGAGGGAATTAAGAAAATACCGGTCAAAAACTAACTCCTAATTCCAGCCCAATTGGTTATAACAGATTGAGGCCCAATCTATTACACGAGGATTAATCTGGGCCCTTCATTTCTATCAGCTAATTTGTAATTGTGGCCGTCCGATCCACTTGGCATGTGCCAATCTAGTGTGCGCGTGCCTTTCTCTATTTACCCTAATCCTTTACTTTCCTAAATCATTTCTTCATCTTCTTCGACACTCACCTCAGCCTTCTCGAACATTACACAGTAGCATGGTTGTGGTGGTGGTACGTTGTTGGAATAAAATTATAGAGGAGTATTTTTGTTTGTCTATTACTCCTATGATTTATGGGTGGCCAGGTGGTTTATTTGAGTGAGGAAAAATTTTCTCGGCCTTGAGATTGTGATGAGACTGGTGGTTTGAGGTGGTGTGGTGGTTCACGATGGAGCAGAGTTGGTTTTTACTATGAACCAGAAGTGAAAGAAAAATAAATGGTGAAATGGCCTAAATTAATAAATTAATTTATAAAAAAGGGACCTGCAAAATACACGCCACAAAGTAATGACCGAAGAAAGATAGTGGGACCACAATTTACAATTGTCAAAACACTGTGAATGAGTGAAAGATGTGGCAGTAAAAAGGTATTAATTTTGTCCACATCTGTAGCAATTGAACAACATGCACGGCCAAATGTGTTTAATAGTACTCAAATCATTAAGTAATAGTGCTAAAATGGAAACGATGAAAGTTCATATACCGGCTTTAAAATGTGATGCAAATTTAGGGGGCCGTTAGGCCTTTATTGCCTTTTAATAATTTATAATGCTAGTGCTTAATCTAGTGCAAAGTTATGAAGATTGAACGCACTTCTATTGTTTTGTTTTTTCCTCATTTTAGGTAAGATATAATTTTAGAGTCTACTGGTATTACTTCCTCCGTTTCAGTTTATGTAAATCTATTTTATTTTTGGTTTGTTCCAAAAAGAATGATTCTTTTCTAAATTTGAAAATAATTTAGCTTAAACTTACAATTCTACCATTAATGAGAAGCTTTTATAACAACACAAATACTGTAGCCCTCTTTTTGACTTGTTTATGACCATAAATTCTAAAAGTCTTTTATTTTTTCTTAAATTTCGTGTCCACTCAAACAGATTCACATAAATTGAAACGGATGGAGTACAATATCATCGTTTTGGTTCCTTCAATGTGAAGTTGGGCTTATAAAAAGCAAAACTCTTACGTTGTTGATTTCTTTGAGAATGTTATTGACTTGAATTCTATTCCCAATAACAAAATTTGGATTTGGTATGGAGTTGGCCGTTGGAATTTTATTTTTCGAGGTTCAAACTTATTAGTTTTGACCATATATTCATAAATAAAAAAATTTATTTTTAAAATAAAATTAATATATTTAAAAATAAAATAAATTTATTTAAAAAATACGTAAAAAACACTACAAATCACAATAATTAATAAATCAAAGTATTTAAAAGGCACTTCTTCCCTCGTTCATTAATGCTCATAACCAGTCCTCCTTTCCTATACCGGCCATGTTATTATCGTCTTTTAGAATGTTGTTTTGCTTTGGAGCTCAATGGCCATTGATTTTTGCGTTTTGCTTTGGAGCTCAATGGCCATTGATTTTTGCCGTTATTTCAAAACTATTTGGTCTAAAATACTACTCAACTTTGTAGAATTTACAGGTTGTGTGAATGGTTATTATGTATCGTATTGTATTGTTTTGATGTATAATAATATCTAAATAGATGTATTGTTTACCGTCGTTTCATGATGTCATGCACAAATAACATATATGAATAATAGATCTATAATATTACAAAGAAAAAGTAAAGTACGGGGTAAAAAAATTTATTTAAAAAAGTAAGATAAAGGATAAAATAAGATTACTTAATAGTAAGGAAGGACAAGAAGAGAGTAAAAAATAATGTAACAATATGTTCATACCAAATTGGTCGTTACATAAAGTGCGGTGGAAGGTCATTTATACAATAGACTATAGAGTGGCACTGAAGCAGGGGCGAAGGGAGAGTAGAACCTACATGTTCGGCATAATTCAATAACTTTGGTTCAAATCATGTACATTATTTATCTTATGGAATTCATTGAACATGTATAAATTACTTAGAACCCAGAAACTGAAAAGATTTAGCTGGCGTTTGGACATAGATTTGATTGAAACTAAAAAAAAAAAGAGTTTTTGAGGTTTTCTCGAAAAATATTTTTTGAATGTTGAAGTTGTTTGGACATGCATTTTATTTGAAGAAAAATTAGAAGTTTTGTGAATGGAAGAAAAATTTTTACCTAAAAATGCCCTAAACTACTTTTTGGAAACTTGAAAATTTTTAATTTTTTTTCAAAACATAATCGCATAAATAAACAGTGTTTTCAAAAAAAAAAAATTAAGAAAAATAAAACCAAAATTTATGGAAAATGGGAACTTAGAATCCGAAAGTCATAAGTTTTATCGAAGCAAATTAAATAAGAACTACCGGTGGAGTAGAATGTGTCGTTTACTTTTAGATGCCAAAAGAATCTCTGCATTGGGTTTCTTACGAATTTATTGTTGTCAGCCATTGAAGAACTAACAATCTAGTAAAGATAATAAATGAAGTTTGCATGGCATTGAAGCTTTTGTAGTGTTCCTACTATAAATGAGACTGCAGACTATTTATGGAGCATTTGTCTAGCCAAGTAATTATTTGATCAGCATATAATTAGATGTAATTAAGGGAGACCAATTGCACTCGTCAATTCTCAAGAAGACAGTGAGTCAGTGAGAATAGATGGTAATTTACCTAGTGTAATTACCAAGTTACTTTTCAATATCTTGTACTTCGTCCGGACCGCAATAAGTGACCAATTTGCTTTTTTATTTTGGTCCAAAATAAGTATCCATTTATATATTCAAGAAAAATTCAATTTGTTTTTCAAAAATTACCCTTATGTACGTATCCCTAAAAAGTCATTTACTCCTTACATTTGAGAAGAGAAGTAAGTATTACTATAACTATGGTACAACATTTAATGAAGGGTAGTTTAGTCACATTAACTATATTCGTCTTGAATTTAGTATTTCCTTAATGGGTGTGCCCAAAGCAAATTGGTCACTTATTGTGGACCGGAGGGAGTAATACATAAATTATTGTTAGTATTTCTAATATGCATATATATATTTATCTCACATTAAATACAAGGTAACAGAGAGATTGATGAAGATGTCACGCATCGCCTCGGAGCAGGATGGATGAAGTGGAGGCTTGCTTCCGGTGTTGATAGAGTTTGACTGCATTCTTGGTTTTGATCTTATTCCATCTTGCTGTTATTCCTACTTGTTGCAATTATCTTTTCTTTTTCGGTCGTTCTCTAACCGAAGGTCTATGGGAAACAGCCTCTCTGGCCTTCCAGGGGTAGGGGTAAGGCTGCGTACATCTTATCCTCCCCAGACCCCACTTGTGGGAAACTACTGGGTTTGTTATTGTTGTTGTTTTTATTGAAGTTCATTTATTTTTCCAGCAAAAAAAATATTTTATTTTTATTATTAATTTTGTTTTAAAATAATATTTAACTGTGTAATTATATTTTGTAACCAAACATGACTCATGTAATTACATTAAATCAAAATAATTATTATATCGTATAATTACTAAACTTTATAGTTACTACCATAGTAATTATATTAAATCCC